GTGCTGCTGCTGCTGCTTGAGATGTGGGGACTGTGAACAGCGAACGCTGCAAGCGGCCAGCTCAACACAGGGCCAACCACTGCAGCAGAAGCAGCAGCAGCAGCAGCAGCAGCAGGAGAGGCAGCAGCAGCAGTTGCAGCAAATACTACAGCAACAGCAACCGTAAACTTAGCCCCAGCAAATGTAATAAAGACAAAACAACAGCAACAGCAGCAGCACTAAATTCAGCAGCAGCAACAAAGACATCATCACAATCACCATCAACAGCAGCAGCAGCAGCAGCAGCAGCAGCAGCAAACTCACGCATGCAGGACAGGTGGTTTTTTTGTTTTTTTATCTGCGGTGTATATTTCTTCTCTTTCAGGGAGATGTTCGTCAACAGGGAAGCATCGGCCGTGCAGCAGACAAAACACAAACGCCCAAATGCTCATCAGCATGTTGTGGTATAAGTCCTGCAGCAGCAGCAGCAGCAGCAGCAGCAGCAGCAGTGAAGAGAACAGCAGCAGCAGCGACAGCAGCAAAAAAGGCAGCAGCAGCAGCAGCAGCAGCAGCACAGTGCAGCAAGAGAAGGGACAAGGTTAACATCTATTCCTCAAGCAGCAGCATTTCTCTTTTGCTGCTCCAACACACTGCAGCAACAGCAGCAGCAGCAGCAGCAGCAGCAGGAGCAGCAGCAGCAGCAGCAGGAGCTTACAACAGCTTGTTCTAGGTTCATTGGTGCTTCTCCCTGCATGCCTGGTAGGGCCCCCATGAGGCCCCCCACCCAAACAAAGAGCCGCTGCCAGCTGTTGGTGAAGACAAAGAGCTGTATAAATAAAAACTTTTTGTGGGGTGTATAGGGTTGTATATATGGTTGAGTTATAATATAAAACTGAGACAGAGACAGCATAGATATTAACATAGATATAGACAACAATAAACCTAATAAACCCTGAAAAAATATTACTATAGAAAAAGAAGAAAATGAAAAAACAGACACAGAATAAAATTCATGCTCTGGGATCGTCTCCTCCCCACACACAGACGATCCCCGCAACACAGCTGTCTCCTTTCTCTTCTCC